GGACAGGAGCTCCACAAGGAGAGCAACAAAACCAAAAAATCTGGGCCCAGGGGTCTTTTCTGAGACTGATACTCTAACCAAGGACCATTGATGGAGATAACCTAGAAACCTGCACAGATGTAGCCCATGACAGTTCAGTGTCTGAGTGTGTTCCATAGTAATGGGAAGAGGGACTGTCTCTGACATGAACTGATTGGCCTGCTCTTTTGATCACCTCCCCCTGAGGGGGGGGGGGAGCAGCCTTACCAGGGCACAGAGGAAGACAATGCCCCTACTCCTGATGAGACCTGATAGACTAGAATCAGAAGGAAGGGGAGGAAGACCTCCCCTATCAGTGGACTTGGGGAGGGGCATGCGTGGAGAAGGGGGAGGGAGGGTGGAACTGGGAAGGGGAAGAGGAGGGGTTTATGGTGGGGGATACAAAGTGAATAAATTGTAATTAATAAAAAAATAAAATAAAATAAAAAAAGAATACAACAGAGATACCTGTTCATTTAGAGTTCACATTGAGCTATCAACCTAATTTAAATTTAAATCAGGGTCTAACCACATAGCCCTGGCTGTTCTGAAACTCACTGTGTACACAAGGCTGCCCTTCAACTAAGAGATCTGCATGTTCTGGCCTCCTACTGGAATTAAAGGTATGTACCACCAGGCCTAGGATATCTGGGATTTTTTTTTTTTTGAACAGGGTTTTTCTGTATGGCCCTGGACCTCCTGGAACTTACTCTGCTAGTTACCTTGTTGTTGTTTTTGGCCTTTTTGTTATTTTGTCTTTTTTTTTTTTTTTTTTCCAGAGCTGAGGACCAAACCCAGGGCCTTGCGCTTGCTAGGCAAGCGCTCTACCACGGAGCTAAATCTCCAACCCCTGGAACTTACTCTCTAGACCAACCTGTCCTTGAACTCACAGAGATCCACCTGCCCCTAGCTCCTGGGATTAAAGGGATGCACCACCACTGCCTATCTGGAATTTTAATTACATTAACTTCATTAATTTGTGCATGTAATGTATAGGTGCCCATGCCACACAGTGGAGTATATTAAAGGTCAGAGGTCAGCTTTCCAGAGTTGGTTCTGGTTGCCCTCTTGCCATGTGGGTTCTGGGGAACACTCAGGTGCTCAGGCTTAGTGGCAAACATCCTTATCCACTGAGCCATCCAACAGGCCCCTATTTGATTTGTTTGTTTGTTGGCTGGCCTTGAATTCACAGAGATCTGCCTGCTTTTGCCTCAGGATGCTGGGATTAAAGGTTCGAACCACCACACCTGGCTGTTTGTTTTTAAGGATTTCCTTTGTGTTTGTGTGCCTGTGAAGGGGGTACATACAGGCTATGAGGTGCTGTGTCCCCAGGAGCCTGAGTTACAGGCATCTGTGAGCCACCCCCCATGGCTGCTCCTGGTTACAATGCCGTTTCTTCAGGGCCCCTCTATTTGGTTTCTGAAGCAGGGCCTCACGCCTCCACCGTCTAAGGACAAGGGTTCTATGCACGCTCTGCTCCACCACCCCGGCTTGGCACTTACATTTTTGAAAGCAGGCTGAGAGCGGACACAGAAAACAGCACTACAGAATAGCAAAGTGCATCCTCACATATACTTCACTGACATGTATTCAATTTTGATCAGCTGACTAAAATGTAACATATTATGATTTATATCTGTAAAGGCAAAACTACATGTGATATGCTATAGCAAATTACTTAAATATTACATTACTCATAAATACAAACACGGCTGTAGGTAAAGTCAACGTAAATCTAAAGTAGATGGCATGCCAGAAACGGGTAAGAGCTAAGAATGAAGGACCTCTAGGGAAAAAGAATTAGAAACGTAGCGTTTTAAATAGGCTGAGAAGCAGGCTGAGGCTGAGGCTGAGGCAGGGGGACTGCCATGAGTCTGAGGTCAGCCTGAACTGCACAGTGGATTCCAGCCTGAACTAAGGACACAAAGAAACGCAAGTGGAAACTTAGTCTTGGTTGAGGAAGGAGGGAGGATGAGCATGAATGAAGGCATGGGGTAGGACTTGGTCTGGTTTGAGGAAGGAGGCCAGGGAGACTGAGTCGAGTGAGCGAGGAGAGAGGAATGAGTGATGGATGAAGACAGAGAAAGCCAGTGGCACACCAGTATACTGAATAAAGACATACCTCGTCTAAAAGACACTAAGTAATGACATCTCCCAGGGAGGAGCCTCTGATAACTGACACCATCACCTCATGGAAATGGTCTTTTCTGACTTTGGGTTTTGTGGCCTCTTGGAATAAGGGCATGAGGCCCAAACTGAGTCTGTTCAGTGAGAAGAGAGTATCAGCCCAGCCCAGCGGAGTCAACCAAGTGGTACCCTCTGTGGAGAAGAGTGAGAAGTAAAAACATCTTCCTTGGCTGTTCCTCAAGGATCCCTCCATTTGAAGACTTGTTACAAGCCTGGCCTCGCTTCCTGCTCTATGTGACCCATGGCACTCGCTATCTGAAGAGCAAGCCCTGACCCAGCCTAGCGAGGCGCCTCCCTCTCACCCCTCAGCACCAGGGAGGCCAGGCTCACAAGCCAGCCTCAGGCTCTGAGCCTTCGGAGAACAAGCCTCTAAAACCACAGCACAGGACCATCAGACACTGCCACTGCTCACCCTGGATCTGGCCAGGCCTAGCGAACCAAGAAGTAGACACGGTAAGACCCGAGGCGGGGCGTGCAACACATGGCCCCAGGGAGGATGGGGGATTCAGCCTCTAAAAGCACACCAGCTCTCAAAAGTTCCCAAGGTAGCCTGGCACGGTGACACAAGGCTGTGGTCCCAGCACTGGGGTAGTGTGGGCAGGAGGGTGGTAAGTTCAAGCCTCCTCAGTTACTGCGGATTCCAGGCCAGCCTGGCTTAGACAGTGGAATTTTGTCGTCCCCCCCACCCCTACTTCGCCCCCCACACACTCCAATTAAAAACAAAATCCGCAAACCAGAAATCAAGGCCCTTGGCCACAGCTCGTTTGCTACAGTGCTTGCTGAGTCCAGGGTTCCATCTCCAGCAGCACATGAACTGGATGTGAGGGCAGGCAGCTGTAATCCCAGCACTCAAAAAGGCAGGGAGATGCAATCAGAGTTCAGGGCTATCCTCGGCTACATAGCAAGTCAAAGGTTAGCCCGGGCTAGATGAGTTACTGACTAAAAACAAGAGGTGAGTGAGAGGGCTCAGTGGTAAGGACACTCACAGCCAAGCCTGAAACCCTGAAATGGATCCCTGTGACCAACATGGTGGAGAGACAGAAGTGACACTGCCAGCTGTCCTCTGATGTCCTCATGGCTTAGAACATGCACACATGTACACACACACACGCACGCTTGCACAAAATAAATAAAATGTAAAAATAATTTTTGTTTGTTTGTTTTCGAGACAGGGTTTCTCTGTGTAGTCCTGGCTGTCCTGGAGTTGCTCTGTAGACCAGGCTGGCCTCAAACTCCCAGTGATCCACCTGCCTCTGCTTCCCAGGGTGCTGGGATTCAAGGCGTGCACCACCACACCCAGCTCATAAAAAAATTTTAAGTGCAACAACAAGAAACCTATCTGGTCACATATGTCTCTCAAAAGGCAGTTTTTCAGATTCTCCCACAGTAACCACACAGTGGCCTCTGGGATCACCCAGTAATCAGATGTGGATATTGTCAGCCAGATGTATGAATATTCACATGGAGCTCAGGAAAAGAGTACAAATCCTGCTTCCAGGTCAGGTCCTGGGGCCCAGTGAGCCAGCGGCTTACCTCCACCACCCTTGGACAGCTGGAGCTGGGCTGTGGTCTCTGCCATTAGAAAAGCTCTTTGTTCTTTGCCGTTGCACAAGCCAATGGGTTCTAGGTTGGATAGACTCTGCAAAAGGCCTGTTTCTTTCTCTCTCCCTCTGACACTCACTCTGTAGCCTAGGCTGGCCTCGACCTTCTGGTGGTACCCCTGCCCCTGCCTCCTATGTGCTGGGAACACTGGCACAACCCAGAGCATCTGGCTACAATTCTAGAATTCTCTCTTGCTTCTTCTGCAACACCCACCAAGCCCCGCCCTCTTTCCAAAGATCACAGTTGAGGCTCAAGCATGAAGCAGCCAGCCCCAGACTGCTGTTGGCCACTGCCCCCAAAGTCTAGCACAGGCCTGTCACCAACCGGCCACTCAGAAGCTCTGAATGTGTGTGCGAGAAGCAAGAGTGTCAAAACCCTCCTGGAATTCGATCTGGCATACTGCCTCTGCCTCAGCTATGCCTCTCCCAGGAAACACTCTTGCATAAGAGATCTGAGGTCTGAAGTACAGGGATGGAAAGGAAGTATCAGGTCAGGTCAGTCCCAGGCTCTCTCCATCTCCCACACCCCTACAGGCTCACGCTCAGAATCAAAACCAAGTCTTGGCCAAAGATACAGAATGGAAACTCCAGAGCAACAAAGACACTTGCTCATCAGCTCAACACAGAATAACGTGCAATACAAGACACTTTAGGGCTGGAGAGGAGCCTGTCATTAAGCCCTTGCCTTAATTCAAGAAATGGAGGTGTGGCTCAGTGGTAGGGACCCTGCCTAGAATCCCCCAGTGAGGGGCTGGGGTGTGGCTCAGTGGT